ACTCGATATCAAAAATGCATTTTTGAATGGAGATATAATAGAAGAGGTCTACATGAAGATTCTTCTAGGGTTTGATAATCATGACAATATCAGTAAGGTGTGTAAGCTTCAAAATTTCTTATATGACCTCAAGCAATCTTTTCGCGCTTGGTTTGAATGTTTAACTAAGCTGTTAAAAAGAATAGGTTTTTACAATACCAATCCGACCATACTATGTTTGTTAAATATTCATCAAATAGCAATATTGCTATTATGATTATTTATGTTGACGATATTATCCTCACAGGAGATTATGAAAAGGAAATAGTCAGATTGAAGACTCTTCTAGCTAAAGAGTTTAAAATAAAGGACTTGAGATAGCTTTGATATTTTTTGGCATAGAAATAACTCAATCAAGAAAAGGTATTTCTATTTCACAACGAAAATATGTACTTAATCTTTTCGAAGAGATAGGGATGCTCAAGTGTAAACCAATGGATACTTCGATAGACTCAAATGTCAATATGAGAACCAGATATTGAAGCCTTCTTACACACCAAAAAAGATACTAGAGACTTAGGAAAAACTTAATTTATTTGGTGCACACTAGACCTGACATTGACTTCTTTGTAAGTATAGTAAGCAAATTTATGAACAATTTTATAAAGACACACATGGAGGCAGTATATCAAATCTTTTAATACTTGAAAAATTTGAGTAAAAGGTTATACTTTAAAAAAACACTAAATAGAGATGTGAAGATTTTTCATATACAAATTAGGCTAGTTCTGTGATAGATCGAAGGTTAACTATAGGGTATTGTACATATATGTGGGGTAACTTGGTTACCTAGAGGAGTAAGAAACAAGCAGTGGTAGCTAGAAATAATGCTGAAGCTGAATTTAAGGTTACATTTCATAGGATTTATGAAAGAATTTAGCTTGAAAGAATGCTATAGAAACTGAAGAAGTCAGTTGAGAATTTAATGAAACTATTTTGTGATAATAAAGTAACTATTAACATTACTAAGAATCATGTTCATTATGATCGAATGAAATATGCAGAGATTGATCATCACTTTATTAAAGAGAAAATTGAAGAAGGCGCAATCAAACCGGTCTACACTTTAACAAAACATCAAACAGTTGACATCCTTACCAAAGCTCTTCTTCATGACAATTTTGAAAATTTGAAGTCCAAGTTAGGTATGATTGATATCTATCACCCAACTTGAGGGAGAGAGTGAAAAATTGATTCTTAACCAAATTTAATTAGGTGTCATTCATTTAGTATTTTAGTTGTTTCCTAAATAAAAGGGATTTTGTTCATTAATCAAATTTGTACTTGGTAGTTTTCATTTATTGTTAGAGGATTTTTAGGTGATTTGTTATTATATTTAGGATATCATGGGATTTGTCAAATTTGATGTTTTAGCTATATGTATACTCTTATACTTTAGAAAATTTCTTAAGAATTCATAAATAAAATTCTCATGAATTTTTTCAAATTAATTACATAACTTTGGTTTGATAATGTAGCAAGTACTAAATGGATAATAGTTGAATGCAAAAGTCAAGATTAAGTTAAGAATACTGAGATGGAGCAAAAAAATTTTTAATTTTGCATATGAGAATATAAGTGAAGATAATATAATATTATACTTGTGTTTAAGGTGTGCTAATATCGATTAGCAAATTTATGAAGTTGTTTTTCGAATATTTAATTGTATTGGATTTATCTCAGGATATATTAATTGGTATTTTCAAGGAAAGTTTACACCATCAAGTCATTGACCAAAGTTTTTTAAACTTCAAGGGCTCCTCAATAGTAACATTATCTTATTAGAAAAAATGACATAGAAGGCATGGTACATGATGCTTTCAACATTCATAACCAACATTTTCATAATCTGTCTTTCCTAAATGATGGATTAGATAAGTCAAATGTTGAAATGAATGAATTTGGTGAACATGGGATAGGTGTATGTGACAACAACTTAGTGAAAAAGCATTAAAGTTTTATACGTTGTTTAAGGATATGAATGAAAAACTTTATAAAGGATCTAAGCATTCAAGGTTGTCTTTCTGAATACGTTCTTTACTTGAATTTATAAAAAAAATGTTTCGTTTTGCCAAAATTCTTGAATCTTGTAAGGATTCAAAGAAAATGATCAATGAGTTAGGTTTTGGATATGAGAAAATTCATAGGTATCTTAAATCAACAATCTTGTCATATGTATGGTAATTTACGTTAGTTGGACACAAATCCTAACAAAAGGTTCAATAAGAATGATGATAAAGTCCATGTCAAAAAGAAACCTGTAAAGCTTTTACGATATTTTTTTATTTATAACAAGACTTTAGTGACTTTTTATGTCTTTCAAAACTATGAATTCTATAAGGTGGCATCATGTTGAGTGAACGAATGATGAATTATTGAGGCATCCTATTGATTTTTTAGCATGAAAATTATTTTACTCTAGGTTTTCAAACTTTGTTTCTAATCCTCAAAATGTTATGCATAGACTGACATCTGACAAATTCAATCTGTTCAAAGTGATGAGTACTTATATAGTACTTGACCAGTTGTATTAATTTCTTAAATTTGCCACCAAAGATTGCCATGAAGCAATAGTTATTTATTTTATCTATGATAATTCCTACAGAGAAAGGTCCTGGAAATGATATGAAAATCTACTTACAACCTTTAACTGAAGATTTAAAGCAGTGATGGAAAAGAATTGAGACTTATGATGTTTCAAAAAAAGAGAACTTCAATATGCGTGCTATCTTATTATAGACTATCAATAATTTCTTGCTTATGCAAATTTATTTGGTTGAAACATCAAAGGTCATTATGCTTGTGTATGTTGTGCTATGCAGACATGTTCAAAATGATTACATAATGATAGGAAGTTTAGTTATATGGCACATCATCGATGGTTAGATGATAATTATCAATTTAGATTTCAAAAATATCTCTTTAATGAAAATGAAGAGTAGAGAAAAGTGCCCTTACCAATTATTAGGTTTAATATCTTGTCAAAAAATATATCAATTTTACTTATGAAAAAATGACTCAATCAAAGAAAAAAGTGAAGAGATCATTAAAGCTATCCGACCTCTTGTTTCTCAAGTTAGTGATACCAATACTCAAATTGGTCATTTTGATGTTCAAGGTGATGAGAAGGAAGATAAAGAAGATGACCTCAATAAGTCTAAGTTGTGAAAAAAAAGTATCTTTTTTAAATTATCTTATTGAGAATATAATTTATTACGCCATAACCTTGATGTGATGCAGATAAAAAAGAATGTTTACAAAAATTTTATTGGAATAATTCTCAATGTGAATAAAAGATCAAATGATGACTTAAAGAGTCAGCTTGACCTAGTTGACATAAGGGGTTCGCCCTAACCTTCATTTGAAGTTGCTTCCTAATGACAAATCCCGATTGCCTCCTACTTGTTTCAGGATGTCTAAAGGTGAGAAAGATGTATTTTGTAGGGTATTAAAAAAATATGAAAATCCCTTATGGCTTTATGTCAAATATATCGAGATGTGTGAATCTAAAAGAGTGAAAACTTTCTTCATTGAAGTCACATAATTATCACATCTTTGATGTAAGACTTATTTTTCCTTGCCTTACGTTCATCAATGTCAAAGCAAGTCACTTCAATTGTAATTGAATTGCATAATATATTTAAAACTCTCTGTGGGAAAGTTTTGAATATGGAAAAGCTTGACAAACTTCAAAATCGAACAATGATTATTTCATGCCATTTAGAAAAAATTTTCCTTATACAATTTAGAGAAGATTTTTCCTTCAATTTTTTTCATTATTATGATGCATTTGATTATCTACATTTCATAAGAAACAAAAGTCAATAGACCGGTTTATTATCGATAAATGTATCTTACGAAAAGATATTATTTGTTAATAGCTTGATTAAGTTATTAGTGTTTATCATACCACTCTAGTGATGTTTTTGGGTAAAAAGGTCACTAAATTTAGTAGCATTTTCTGACATAAATGCTGTTCTTTTCTTTGATGCAAGTATAGTCAATACTGTTAGCTGCATTTTTGGTAAATGACACGAATTTATAAATGGCATTTATAAATTCGTAAAAAAAAAAAAAGAGGTTGCTAAAGACTTATTTCCTTTGTAGTGTAATGTCCTTGCAACATAAGTTAAAATTACATCTTAGATTCTTAATTTTTCATAATTTACATATGCTTAAATTATTCAACAAATATTCAAATACCAACCATAAATAGCAAGTATATCAATTATAAATGAAGAACTTCCATAACATAAAACTAACTTTGACCAAAAATATATATAAATCTAAAAGCATCTAACAAAGATCAATATAGATAAATATTTTATCACTTAGTTAAAAATTTAGGATAATTCAAAATTTTGAATTATAAAGAAAATCTTTTGACTATCAATAAAAAAATTATCCTATTTATTTTGATTTTATTGGTTAACTCGGTTTTGATCATATTATGCACACTCAAACGTGGACTGCAAGAAGAGGCACTGGTCTTTGTAATTTCTCATTTGCAAAAAAATAATAATAATAACAATGAAAATAAATTATAAATGTGAACATTACCAAACGCAAAAAGCAAATAAAAAATGCTAATTATGGGTTGATGGGCTTAACTTGGGCCTGAAGAGCCCTTAAATTTTTTTGGGCAGAATAAGACAAACCTCGCACGGGAAGAGAAAACGTCGATGATCTACCATTTTCCACATCCATTTTCCACGCATTTACTTGAAGTCTGAAACAACAGCCAACCAAAAAGTCACCTGTAACATGCAACTGATAAGATCGAATACAATTTACTCATTGACCAATAATTCCTTAAAAAGCACAACAAAATAAAGATCATATCTTCTGTGATACACGTGGGCAATGTTTTATCCACGTGTCACGTCGCCAACAACCTTTTACACTTATTTTATCAAAATTTTCGTGATTATTGTACTTATAAAAATAAAAAATTATCTGATTCTGTTTTTATCTTTTTATTTCAAGCAGCCAAACTTGAAATGCCATTGCCATTGCAAACTGAGTCCGATAACATCGTTTTTTGTCAGATTGGATCGTTTCAGTAGCTAATTTGCATGGTACTCTTTGTTGGGTATCAGGTAAACTTTTTCTCTTACCCAGTTTTTTAATTTTGTTTTTCAGTCAAAGATATGAGTAATGCACGTGAAAATTATGCAGTTTCTGGTTCATTTCTGTTAATTTTTGAAATGGTGTTTTGTTTTTTGTTTTTGCATTTGATTTTATTGTCTTTTTTTAAATTATCTGTTTCCTTTTTGTTGATGATAAAGTGGAAGGATTAAGTTTGAGAAAAACTGTGGAAGGTTTATGATCATTTATATGACTTAGTTCTTTGTATTGATGATGGAATGAAATTGGGGAGGGGCTATTTGGCTTATTTCTTTGTATTGATGGGGGGAGTAAATTGCGGAAGGGTGTTTGTTTGTTGAATCTGAGAAAATTGTAGAATTTGAATCAGAGTAGTGTTGTAATTTTTTTTTTTTTCGCTTTGAGCATAATGGGAGGGAGGATGATCTGAAATTGATTTTGGTGAATTCTTTTGTTCAAGGTTGTATTAGTTTAATTATACTGTCTTTGTTTCTTTTGGAGGTGGGGAGGTTGGAGGAATAGTTGAATTGAAATTCATATCGAAAGCAGTAATGGATTTCTAATAATTTCTTCTTGATTAAGGCACATTGCTATCGTATATTTTTACTTCAAGTCTTTCATCTGTAACATTTTCATTGACCAATGAAAGTACAATGACATTAATATTGCAGCACACGGACTAAATTCATTAACTAAAAGAAGGTGAGGTTCCAAAGGGAACTCGTTCAAATATTGCTTAATCTGAGAATTTCTTAATGGGGGCTATTCTGAGCTTGGCTGCTCCAAGGAGTTGGATAAATGACTGCAATGAGGTCTCACTGAGTGAAACCTGCAAGAAACAGAAGAAGTCCCCGTACTTCGATGAAGATAGCTCAAGACTGATTCCTTGTCTTCCTGATGAGTTATCAATGCAGATCCTTGCTCGACTTCCTAGAATTCACTACTTAAATTTGAGGTTGGTGTCGCAGAAGTGGAAGGCAACCGTTATGAGCCCTCTGCTGTTTAAATTGAGAAAAGAACTAGGAATGACAGAGGAGTGGTTATATGTGTTAACTAAAGTTGAAGAGGAACAACCTCAATGGCATGCTTTGGACCCTTTGTCGAGGAAATGGCAGAGGCTGCCATCGATTCCAAGCGTCATTTGTGAAGAAGAATCTAGGAAGAGTTTATGGAACATGGTGGGACCTAGCATTAAAATTACTGAATTTATAAGAGGCTGGCTTGGGCAGAAGGGTGGTTCAGATCCCACACAATTTTGTGGTTGTGCCATTGGTTCTGTTGATGGATGTCTTTATGTTCTAGGGGGATTCTCTAGAGCTTCTACCATGAGAAACGTCTGGCGGTTCGATCCAATTCTAAATGCATGGAGCGAAATGACTTCCATGTCAATAGGTAGGGCCTACTGTAAGATAAGCATTTTAAATAATAAGCTATATGTCGTTGGAGGGGTTAGTCAAGGCCGAGGTGGATTGATTCCTCTTCAGTCTGCTGAAGTTTTTGATCCCCACACTGGTACATGGTCCCAAGTTCCAAGTATGCCATGCTCAAGAGCTCATATGTTACCTAATGCCTTTATGGCTGATGTGCTGAAGCCTATCGCCACTGGTATGGCTTCATACATGGGAAGGTTATGTGTAGCTCAGAGTTTATATTCTTGGCCCTTCTTTTTTGATGCTGGGGGTGAGATTTATGATCCTGAAACAAATTCATGGGCTGATATGCCAACTGGCATGGGGGAGGGTTGGCCTGCAAAGCAGGCAGGTACGAAGTTGAGTGTTGTGGTAGATGGTGAATTATTTGCTTGTGATGCTTCCGCCTCTTTGGATAGTGGTATAATAAAGGTGTATGATCAAAAACAAGATGCTTGGAAAGTTTTCATAGAAAATGTCCCTATTAAGGATTATGGTAATTCAGAATCTCCATATTTACTTGCTGGATTTCATGGAAGGCTTCATGTTATCACAAAAGATGCCAATCGTGACATTGCTGTTCTGCAGGCTGATCCACAGGATAATTTCAGCCCTTTGTTATCAAGCTCAACTTCTCTTTCAGGTGGTTCCTTACCCAAATTTCATGATTCACCGGCTGAATCAGAACCAGTTAACTGGAAGGTTATTGCATCCAGAGATTTTGGCACTGCTGAACTTGTCAGTTGTCAGGTTCTGGATGTATAGGTTTATCAAGTAACATGTTAGGGTGCAATTCTAAGATGTTTATTGCCTGGAATCTTCAGAAGTGAGTTCAGGGAATTCAGCAAATTCTAAAATCTCTGTTAATTGGTCAAAATTATAAATCTTCCCTGTCTAGAAGATCATCATCGAGTTTGTCATTTGTTTTTGTGTCTCATTGTCGGTCATCTCATGGAATGTCCTTAGCTTCCATGGATACGTGGTGATATATACAATGATCGACATTCCTTTCAACGCGTAAAGGGTAGCGTTATAGCAATTCAAAGGAGAATAATACAATATCAGTATATCCTCTTGGTTTAGATATGAGCATTATCATTAATTTAATCTGCACCATCATTCAATATATCTGTGTAATGCATATTTGTCACAAACTCCACAAAAATGAAAATCAAATCAAGGAGTAGTATATAGCAGAGTTTACTTATTGGTTACTAATTGATTTGGAGTCTTTTTTTGTCTGTTAATTTGTGGTTTCTATTCCAGCAGGTCCAGATCTTTAAATAGGGCTTCTTTGCTTTGAATTTGGGGGGAAGAAACCTCCAAATAGTTATTTCTTTCTCTTTTTTTTTTTTTTTTTGGATAAACCCAAAGTAATTTGTGTTTGTCAAATCTTTTTGAGTCCAAATCAAACAGTAATTGTATTATGGTTTGGGCTTTCTCGAAACAAAGAGGCCTAAATTCAAGTATATTTCGGTTTGGCTTCTAATTTCTTGTAAGGCAAAGGAAATCAGAATGGTAATTGTTTATAAAGCAAACTGGTTCTTAATATGTTTCATGCGTAAATAAAGTTAAATCAAATCATATTTATCAATATAATTCGGTTTCTTGATTCAAATAACCAACCAGTGTAACAAATACCCTGAGTTACTAAATGTTTTGTTTTTGATTCACTGAACCACGTTGAATGTCTCAAATAATGTGAAGACTTGTTTATATGGTTAAAAGAAATAGGTTAGAGAAAATTAGAACCTAATTCCATTTTTTTTTTCTTTTGGCCAAACAATTATGCAAAGTTAAGTATCAGAAATTAAGCACATCTTTTTTGTCGAATTTTAGCCCACTTTTAAATTGCTCCGTGCGAAAGATTTATATCGTATTAGCCACAAATATTTTTTTCTTTTTTTTTTTACAAATGAGGTGAGAACTTAAGATGAAAAAAGAAATTATAGGTGTTAAAATTTGAATATAAACTTGCTAAATGCTAATGTTTAAAGGTGGTTATACGAAATAACTGAGTTAAAGGATAAACTTTTCGAGTGGGAGAAACATACAACAACTGTTGGACCTTCAAGATATATATATATATATATATATATATATATTGGGACAACGACTGGGAAATTATTTATAAGGAGTTAGAAATTGTTGGTTAGTGATTCTGAAGCACGACTTTTACTTATACTATTCAGTTTTGGTGTCTTTTATAATTCCTGACAACATTAGCATTTGTTCTTATGACTTCTAAATAACTTGACCATCCGTGCCTGAATGCTGTCGAATCAGTTCAAAGTGAACTCCATTAATCCTTGCTAGTGGATGGCTAAACTAGAAAGACTCCGCACTTGGGAAATCAGACATGTGTTGAAGCTACTTGACTCAACCTTCTGTTTTTGGGAAAACTTTAATTTCCTGGTTGGAATTTGGAAGCTGCTAGCCTGCTACATTGGATAAACACTTTTGGCTTATGAACAGCGGTAAAATCTTTTACAGGGTGATATAATTGTTTTCTATGTTAAAGAGGAAGGACTAAGTGCTATGGTCATTGGTGGAAAAACAAAGAAGAAATATCAGGTAACTAATCTTTTGACTAATGGCGGGTCTACAATTTACTTTTCCCCTAATTTCAGCTAAGATCATGAATCATGTGTTACTTTTTTCATATTCTGTGTATGAAAGACGAGAATCCACTCCTAGTTCCTAGCCAGGCTATTTTATTTTCTTTTTTTTTTTTTTTTTGGGGGGGGGGGGGGGGGGGGAGGGGTGTTGAATTTTTTGTGCAAAGGCTAAAGTGGCAATCTAGGTCATATTCTCTTGGTTATGCTGTTGAAACATTATTATTGTAAGTATATTCTCCTCATTTTCATAGTTCCACTGAGTATTCTTTTTCTTAGTGGTGGACCTCCCTGCTTTGCACATACCAAAAATGTAAAACATTTTCTCATTGTAATATTTGATAATCTCAGTGATTCTATTACCCGTTTATACAGAATCAGATTTGGGGTGTTCTTTCTGCTGCATATTTATACAGAATCAGATTCGGGGTGTTCTTTCTGCTGCATATTTGATGGTAAATATGTGAAGTCATAAATTAGTTTGTTTGGCAAGACTACTTTGGCTGAAGCTTGAATTGCTAGTGGAACTTCCAAAATATTGAAAAGAACAAGTAAAAACAATGATGGTGGGGGACAACGATAAGCTGGCTTAGCAAGTGGCCATTTTGAATAATCAGCCTCTATTGGAACCCTTTTAATAATTGTAAGAATTTGGTTGCAGAAGATGTAACATATCATTTATCATTTATATATAAAAGAGTGAATTCCAGAAATGTTAAAAGTAACAGATTAAAAATAATCTCAATAAAATTTTAATTTCTAAAATATTACAAGTGAGTGACTAAAATACTTTTAATAAAATATTTTTAATAAAATTTAATTTAAATATTTTTTTATTAAATTCTCATTTATTAAAATTTTAATAAATTTTAGTTTAAATATTTTTTATTATTAATCTTTTTTTATTATTAAACATGTGTTTTATTTTTATCATTATTATTTTGATAATTTTGTTATTGATTTTTATTTCATATTAAATTTGTTAGAATTTTAAAAAAAAATAAAAGTGTATCTTACAATTAAAATAGAGGTTTGATGAAAAATTAACCTTTAAACAGATATTCTTTTCATTATTTGTTCCTACTTTATAAATTTATTTTTATATATAATTAAATTTATTTAATTTAAACTTTAAAAAAGCACATAAAAAGTTAACTAAATTCTTTATTAAATTGTATCACTAAATCTTAATAGATATACATACATACATACATATATATATATATATATTAGTTTTTGAAACGTGCACGATGCGCGTGTCATTCTTATTTTTAAAAATTCATTTCAATAAATAATTTTTTGATATTATGATAACAACAATAAATACTAATAATTTAATTTTGATTTTGGTATAATATAAGTAAAATTTGATAACTTTTGATATAATTTTGATTTTGATAACCTTTGATAAAATCTTGGTAACTTATAATATAATTTTGATAACCATTTATATAATTTTAGTAATTTTTATAAATTTGATAACTTATGATATACTTTTAGTAATTATTGATAAAATTTATGTCATCATATATTTAACAATGGATTCTTATAAGAAAACACAAGTTCAGCTCTAGCATAAGATAATTTTTTTATACAATAACATTATTGTTTCATTTAAATTTAGAATTTTTTCACTAAATTTTTTATTGAATAGGTTTATGGTAGGTTTATCCTAATCTCTCGATATAAAATTTCTAACTTAGTTTCTACCAATAACCAAGATTTAATTCTCGATAACTTCAAATATAAAAAAATTTATAAATGATTAATAATTAAGTTATCATTGATTCATTATTATGTTATCAGCGATTTACTACTAAACTATCAATAATATATTGCTAAATTATCAATAATTTACTACTAAATTAGCATTGATTTACTATTAATTTATGAATGAATTTACTATTAAGTTATGACTGAGTCACTATTAAATTATTAATGATTTACTGCTAAGTTATTAATGATTTATTATAAAGTTATATCTGATTTACTATTAATTTATTGATGATTTTATTACAAAGTTATTAATAATTAACTAATTTGTTACTAAAGTATCACTTATTTATAACTAAATTATTTGTGATTTACTGTTAAATTATAAATAATTTACATCTAAATTATCAATGATTTATTATCATGTTATTATGCATTTACTATTATGTTATCATTGATTTACTACTTAGTTTTTGATTATTTACTATAATATCATCACAAATTTATTACAAAATTAACTATGATTTATTATCAAGTTATCATTGTTTTATATTAAATTATCCACAATTTACTATTAAATTATCATTGATTTACTATTAAGTTATTAATGATTAACTACTACTAAGTTATATTATTTTACTTTTAAGTTTTCAATAATTAATTATTAAATTATCATTGATTTGTATTAAGTTATTTATGATTTATTACTAAATTTATCAAGTAATTACTATTAAATTAAAACTAAATTACTATTAAGTTGCCATTGATTTATTATTAAGTTATCAATTATTAACTACTAAATTATCACTTATTTTTTATTGATCTATCATTGATTTTAATTTGTTATTATGCATTTACAACTATAAAACATGAAATTTAAAAGTCTAGTAATAATATACGAAATAATTTTTTTATATATAATAACATTATTATTTTATTTAAGTTTATAATTTTTTTTCACTAATTTTGTTATTCAATATGTTCATGATAGGTTTATCCTAATCCCTAAAATGAAAGTTTTGACTTCATTTTGCTAGTACTCAAAATTCGATCTCTGGCAACTATAAGTATAATAAAAGTGATCAATGATTGACAATTAAGTTATTAGTTATTTACTACTGAGTTATTAATAATGTATGACTATTTTATGAATGATTTGTTATTACTTTATGAATAATTTACCAATCACTATTGGTAATTTACCACTAAGTTATTGATAATTTATTATAAAATTATAATTGATTTACAACTAATTTACCAATGAGTTACTTAAAAGTTATCGATGATTAATTAATTTATTACTAAATTATCACTAATTTATAGTTAAGTTATTAATAATTTACTATTACGGTATCAGTAGTGCTTAAAATAAACTATAATAATTTATTATTATAATAATTAATATAAATAATTTATCAAATTATATCTATCAAAAATTTAGAACAAAAAATAATTATAAAATTTACTACTAAATTATCATGATAAAATTAAATCATTAATGATTGTATCATAATTATTTTAAGTAAAAACTGCTAAAATTTCTAATTATAAGATAAAATTATATACATAATTAGTTTATTATTTAAATTATCAATGATAAAAAACTATCAATTATATTTGATTTATTATATATTAATTAATTAAAAAGTAACATTATTATATTAATTATCACTTAAAAAATTAATATTAAATATATATTTACAATATTATTAATTACATAAATACAATCACTAAGTTATACTAATTACATTTAAGTTTTCAGTGATTAATTATTAAGTTATTTATTATCCACTACTATGTGATCATTGATTTATATATACCCAAAAAGAAAAGAATCACAATATATGCTAAAATGCCAGCTAAATGATGTAATTCATAAGACAAAGAAAAAAAGAAGAAAAAGTTCAAGTGTAAATGGCTTGAAAAGCATGAGTAAATACTTTTAATTTATTATAAGTAGTTTAACATGTAATAATAAATTAAAATCATAACTTTTTATACCAATACAAGTATTAAAACTAAATTAAATAATATATACTATATATATTAATTCAACATTTATAAGATATTCTTTAAAATTTTTAGTTCATTATAAAACAGTACATATTAAGATAAACTTTATTAATAATTTGATTGAATTATTAGTATATATGTTTTTATACATGTTAG